CGGTCCCCCCGGGGCAGCCCAAGGAGCGGGAAGCGGCGGGCGGGGGCGCATGGGGGGCGCTCCGCTCCCGCGGGCCCGACCCCCCCGGGCAGCCCCGGCTCCGGGGCCCCTTTGCACCGGGGGAGCCGCGCGGGGAGCGGGGCTGGGGAACGGGCGGCTCCTGCCCCCCCGGCGGCGCCCGCGCGCGGGGCGAGCCGCGACACCGACGGGGACCCCGCGGGACGGGGTCCGGGGCACCCCCCTCCTGGGGGTTCGGACACCTCCCGGGACGGGGTCCCGGTCACCCCGCGATCCTGCGGGTCCCGATACCTCCCGGGACGGGGTCCCGGTCGCCCCGCGGTCCCGGGGGTCCCGATACCTCCCGGAACGGGGTCCCAGGCACCCCGCGGTCCCGGGGGTCCGGACACCTCCCGGGACGGGGGTCCTGGTCACCCTGAGTGCTGAGGTCCCGAGGGGGGCCCCTGCCCGGGCTGGGGGCGCCCCGAGGGGGCGGCCGCCGCCGGCCCCCCCGCGCGGGCCGGGCCGGGCCGGGTGTCCCGGGACTCACCTCTTCTTAGAAGGAAAGCGGGGCAGGAGGAGCGGGAGGGGGCGGCCGCGCTGCCCGGAATGGGCCGGCGGTGGCTGGCGCCGGGCCGAGCCGGGCCGCGCCGGGCGGGGCCGCGGGCGCCGCGCCGCGTTACAAGAAGCCGCGCGGTTCCAGGAACCCGAGGGCGGGCGCTCCGCCCGCTATAAAGGGCCTCGGCGGGCGGCCCCGGCAGCTCCGCCGCGCTCCGACCGCGCCGCGCCGCTCCGCGCACAGGTACGGCCGGCACCGCCGCCCGCCGGGACACGGGGGACACGGGGGGACACGGGCACGCGGCGTCCCGCGGGGCGCGGGTCCCCGGCGGGGAACACGGCGCCGCCGAGTGCCGGGGGACACGGCGGGACACGGCGACTCCGCGGGTCGGGCTCGCAGCGGACGTGGGGACGCAGAGCCCCTAACCCGGGTGGCCCCGAAGGCGACGCGGGGACAGCGGCGCCCCCAAACCGAGCGCCGTCGGGGGGCACAGGGCAACGGCGGCCCCGGAGAAGCCCCCGGGGGCGATAGGGAGACGTCCGGGAACCGGTTGTCCCCGTGGGCGGGACACGCGGCAGCAGCGCCCGGGAGCGCCAGGCGCCCCCGAGGGGACACACGGAGCTGGGTGTCCGGAGAACCAGGTGTCCCCGAGGAGGGACACGGTGTCCCGGGAAGCAGCTGCCCGGGGGGGCGCGGGGGGGTGGGGGGGGGCGGTGGTGCCCGGGGGCAGCGGGGCCGGGGACGCCGGTGCCGTGCGGCCGAGCTGAGCGCCGTCTCCTCCGCAGGTGATGCAGTAGCAGCCGCTGCCCGGCGCAGCCGCGCGCCACGCTGGCTCCCTGCGCCATGGTCACCCACAGCAAGCTGCCCGCCGCCGGGATGAGCCGCGCCGGCAGCCTGGACGCCAGCCTGCGCCTCAAGACGTTCAGCTCCAAGAGCGAGTACCAGCTGGTGGTGAACACCGTGCGCAAGCTGCAGGAGAGCGGCTTCTACTGGAGCACCGTGACGGGCGGCGAGGCCAACGTGCTGCTCAGCGCCGAGCCTGCCGGCACCTTCCTCATCAGGGACAGCTCCGACCAGCGGCACTTCTTCACGCTCAGCGTCAAGACGGAGTCGGGCACCAAGAACCTGCGCATCCAGTGCGAGGGCGGCAGCTTCTCGCTGCAGAGCGACCCGCGCGGCGGGCAGCCGGCGCCGCGCTTCGACTGCGTGCTCAAGCTGGTGCACCACTACATGCCGCCCGCGCCCTGCGCCGGCCCCGAGCGCCCCCGGCGCACCTACTACATCTACTCGGGCGGCGAGAAGATCCCGCTGGTGCTGAGCCGCCCGCTCTCCTCCAGCGTCTCCACGCTGCAGCACCTCTGCCGCAAGACCGTCAACGGGCACCTGGAGGCCTATGAGCAGCTCACGCAGCTGCCCGGGCCCATCAAGGAGTTCCTGGACCAGTACGATGCCCCCCTCTAGGGTCCGGGGCGGGCAGGCGACAAGCACAAGAGCGGGGGGCCCGGGATGCCCCCCGGGGCTGCACCCCCCGGACACACATGGCGGAGCCTGGGCCGCGCCGGGGCCGGAGCCCCGTCCCGCTCGTGCCTGGGCGCTCCCGGCTGGAGCGCTGCCCACTCCCGTTACCTCTGGCTGCCTCCTCGCGGGGGAGCCCCTTCCGTGCCGGCCGGGAGGCCGCTGCCTTTTCCCCGGTGCCGTTTCCTGGGACGAAAGCCTTAACGTTCCCGCCTGTGCTCCGGCTCCCTGCACACGTCCGGAGGCGCCGCGTGCTGCTGCTCCCGGAGCCGCAAGCGACATGTCCCGACACCACCGGCCGGGGCTGCGGGCAGGACCGTGATGCCCATCGCTGCGGCCCGGTCCTGCGGGAGCCCCCGGGACGCGGCACCTCGCAGCCGCCTGGAGCAGCATCTGGGTTTTTCTGCCTTTTTCTGTTTTTTCTACCCAAAGGGATGTTTACAGGCTGCCGCGGATCACTGTCTTTTATAAAGATTCCACCTTCACCTCCAGCCTCGCGGGCTGAGCAAACCATGCTTGAAATAGTCAACCAAACCAAAACTCGGACAGAACTTTGCACATATTTATATTTATATTCAGAAAGGAAAGGTTTCCATAATTTATAATAAAGAGCACTATTTTTTAAAGACCCCCCCGGCGTGGTTCGTGCCGCCGCACAGCCGCGGGGCCCCGCGCGCGGCCCGCGCGCTCTCCCTGCAGCCGGCGGCTCCCGCTGCGCTCAGGTACGTCCGGGCGCCGCTCCGCGCCGGCAGAGCGCCTGCGCCTCGGGGTGCAGCTGCACCCTGGATCCCGCAGCCCGCGCGGAGGCACCAGGGCCCAGCCGGCGCGGGAAGGGGCCGCGGGAGCCCCCCGGCTGTTCGGGTGCTGTGCACGGGGCGGCTGCTCCAGGCTGCCAGGAAGCTGGCGCGGCCGGCCCGGCACCCGCCGGAGCTATGCGAGGAATGTCCCGCGCGCGGGTGGCCACCGGCCAGGCTCTGCCCTGCGGCCCGGCCCCGCGCCCGCCACACCCCCAGCGGGCCCCGGCGCAGCGCTGCGGCCCGCTGCGGCCTGCTGTGCTGTGCTGCACCGCGCTACACTGTGCTGCGTCCCGCGGCGTCCTGCTGCGCTGTCCTGAACTGTGCTGCCCTGCGCTGTGTCCTGCCGCACTGTCCTGCACCATGCTGCACTGCCCTGCACTGTCTTGTACCACAGTGGGTCCTGCTGCACCCCGCTGCGCTGTCCCGCACCCCGCTGCGCTGTCCTGCAC